TTTTATTTAAATAAAAGCCAAAATTCCCTATAGCGTTAAAATTTCCAATTTCTCAAAAATGTTGAAACTGCACTCGGGCGCCAAATGGAACGTCATCGACAGCTGTTTTAATAAGGCGTAGGCAGTGTTGCCGTACAATTTTCAGAAAGTCCCAAAAAGAGGGATAATTGACTAAAAAGGGTAGCCATATTATATTTGCTTCTCTTTACTAGTAAAAAAAAACATTTGAGAACCCAAGTCAAATTCAAATTTACATGTATTATAAAGTCTTCGCTGCTAGAACGTTCCGTTGTTAAATTTAATATGACAATAGCGGGACAAGCTTTAAAAAAAACATAGAAATCGAGATGCTACAAGAGTTGCATTTCTTTTTAAATCTCTGACAAGGGGCAAAAGTCGCAGATAATTTTGGAAAAGGGTCAAAAAATCCAAAATTTCAAAAAGTCGGGTCAAAGGGTATTGGCGCCTAAAAAGGGTCAAATTGAGCCTTTAGGGCGCGAACGGCAACACTGACCCTAAGTAATAAGTACCGCGGCGAGAATCTAAATTCGCCTTCAACACCACTTTGTATAAATTCGCCTTGGTCAAAATGATGTGTTTGTTGTAAACAAAACGAATTCATATTACAACAAACAATAAATTCGCCTTGAAACATCCTTTTGACCAAGGCGAATTTATACACGGTGGTGTTGATGGCCAATTAAATTTTCGCCGCGGTACTACTGAATGTCAAAATCAAGGCGAATTTATACAAGGTGGTGTTGATGGCGAATTAAATTTTCGCGACGGTACTACTGAATGTAAAAATGATGTGTTTGTTGTAAACAAGGCGAATTCATTTTACAACAAACACATCATTTTGACATTAAGACGTACCTCGGCGAAAATCTAAATTCGCCATCAACACCTCCTTGTATAAATTCGCCTTGGTCAAAATGATGACATCTAATCTAAATTCGCCATCAACACCATCAAGGCGAATTTATACAAGGTGGTGTTACTGGCGAATTTAGATTACAACAACGACAGCCACATGTATTTTGTATGGAGGGTGTTATGTCAAATCTCATTCGCTCCGAAGTTTACACGTATTTTGTTTTTGCTTTTGATGGGTGTGCTGTCAAATCAGTAAAAGCAAAAAGAAAATACATGTAAGGCGAAGAAATCAGCTGATTTTACAACACCACCTTGTATAAATTCGCCTTGAACACCACCTTGTATAAATGCGCCTTGCTTTTGACATTAAGAAGTACCGCGGCGAAAATCTAAATTCGCCAGTAACACCACCAAGCAAGAATGATAGAATGTTCGCTGTACCATGACCACCAAGACGAATTTCACGAATTTATACGAAAATCTAAATTCGCCTTGAACACCACCTTGTATAAATTCGCTTTCGACTTAAAAAAGCGTTGTAATAAAACAAAAACGTTTGCATTTGCGGTGTACATTTTATTTAAGGTGAAATAAAATAGTTTTTGTAATAACAATGGAATCCGAGTCAACAGTAGAAGCCCCGCCAGAAAGGCATACAGAAAAACATGAACAAAAGAAAAATAAGAAACCGGCTGCCGCTGAAGCTGTTGGTGACATTTCAGGCGGCTCAAAAAACTATAGGAAGCGTAAGCGGCACCATTTCAATGCTATTCGGAAACAGATGGAATTCTACTTTGGCGATGCTAATCTGTCTAAGGACCGATTTTTGAAGCAGCTTATCGACAAAGATCCTTGTAAGTGCTCTAACATGTATTCTAACTAATTAATAACTAAGCACTTCGTGCGCATTCAAATTGCAGATGTACCTCTGGAGGTATTTCTAAACTTCAATAAATTGAAAGCGCTTACTAGTTCAGTGGGCGAAATCTGCAAGTCACTATCTAACTCAGAACTGCTCGAGTTGGATGAGGCACAATTGAAAGTCAAGCGAAAGACCGCATTGCCCATTGAACGGAATGTCGACGAAAAGACACTATATGTTGAAGCTCTGCCTGCAGCAGCTGATCATGATTGGGTACGTCAGGCTTTTGAACGTTTTGGCTCAGTAGTCTATGTGTCGCTACCGAAGTATGCTAAATCGCGTAAAATCAAGGAATTCGGATTTGTGGAGTTTGAGCATGAGAGTAGCGTCGAGAAGGCTATTAAAGCATTTCAAGATTTTAATGGTGTATTGAGAATGGAAGAAACTGATCCTGCAGAATTACAGAGTGTTAAGTCATTCATAAAAGAACAAAATGAAGAAACCCCTATAGCAAAAGATGAATTAGATATAGAGCAGAAAAAAGTAAAAAACCCCAAAAGGGGCGCCGATGATATTTTGGACTCCGAAGGGCCTGCAACAAAAAAGACTAAAACCGAAAACGATGAAAACTCCACCGCAACCGAAACAGCAGAAAATACAAATGATGATACCGAAGATCAGCAGCAAGAAGACGGGGAAGAGGGTAGCAATAAAAAGAAACGCCGTAAAAAGAAGAAAAAGGCCAAAAGTTTAGAAAAACGCAGGAAAGATACTGATTTGAATACTGACGCATCCTTTTATGAATTGAAAATTCTGCCTAAACGCGCCTGGAAGCGATTGCGTAACAAATATCTAAACTTGCAACGTGAAAAAGTTGCAGAGTTAAAGCGCAAAGCATGGAAGGAAAAGCAACAACAACAGGCTAGCGAAGCAGGCGGGTTGGAAGCATTAGACGCTACAGCACCACCTCCAGCCAAGAAACCGCAGGCAAATGAACGCAATCTGCGTAAAATGAATATGAATTTCTACGGCGCCGGCGAAGAAGAAGCAAAGCCGCAACCAAAAGAGATGAAGCACAATCCTGCCTTGGAACGCGCTCCTCTCTTCAGCTATGCAGAGGGACTTATTGTAGAGGTAGCTTTTTTGAATCCTTGCGTCAATATTAAAGAATTTAAGGCCGATATGCGACAATACGAAGCCGTAAAGTACGTTGACGTCAAGGAGGGCGCCTTGCTTGCACATTTGCGGTTAGATGCGGCAGAAGCGGCAACCGAATTTGTGGGTCAAGTGAGTTGCGTAGAATACAAGTGCAAGGTACTCAGTGGCGAAGCAGAGCTAGAGTATTGGAAGAAAATTGAAGCAGATCGTGAAATGAAGTTAAATAAACAAGTAAAGGTACCACAGAAGAGAGGTAGAGAGAAAGTTAAGAAACTAATAACGAAACACATTCGTTTTGGTGAAGATGATGAATAAAATAGTCAATACAGTTAATTTTTATTTTGGAAAGATAATAGAATTAGCTTTATTTAATGAAATAAACATACCTTCTTACATTATACTAAAATGTACTAATTATTAGTCTGATTTTCAAATTTGAATGAGTACTACTACTATATGTATAGGGAACCATCAGCTGGCCCTAGATAATGTAACGATATGAGCAAAACATCAATAATGGTCCACACACCTAAGCCTCCGAAACTGAAAAGCTTTCCAATTCCTTCTTGCCAGTGCCCTAGATAGAAACGATCGGCTCCGAAACCACCTAATGTTATACTTATTATAAGCGCCGTACTCCACCGATAACCTTGTGTCCAGTTACATTTAAGATTACGTGTAAATGAGCGATTACCAAGGCAGAATACGTCCGAATGCACCGTGCAATTGGTGCGATAATAATGTGCATTCACGGAATTGCAGTTTCCACGAAGCATACATGACTGCTGCCACATTTCCGTTTGATAGCAATATCGACAATTTATCTGCTGCACAAAAGATCGATTACCTTGACATTGAACATGGTCCAATGCCGTACAAGTAACATTTATATCGCGTCCATAGTGACAAGAGTAGTTATAATTGCAGCGTATACAAGGAAAGGGCAACGACGAACACTCGCTATCCGGTGTGCCTGGACAGGATACATTGGTGTCATTGATGCTTTTGATTGTAAGTGGTATAGCGTCATTGTTGTTTGTGATATTTTTCGATTGGCCTTCCAGTTTAGATTCAGCTTCCATAAGATTTCCACCAGCAGTCAGACTTTGACGTATACCGCTCAAAATGAAAATCATGATGAGCGCTATAGCGGACCGCATATTTATTACAATACAACGCCGATGCAGCATTCTATAAATTTTTGTTTTAAAAGCGGAATGTAAACTACATTTTTTGCGCACGCCCAAATTAATAAACAATTTTATACAAACAGCTGTTTATGCTGCAGACAAATCTGTCAATGAAACAAAACCAGGGACGATTTTTGGAGGTAAGAAAAATTAAAAGATTTAATTTTAATTAATGAAAAAACTCATAACTGTAGTAATGTATGAAAAATATATATTAAAATCTACAAAAAAATATATACTAACATACATACACGTGTACATAATCACAGAAAGCAAGTAAATACGACAGATATCTATTAAAATTCTATTCATGCGACTGCTGGGAAATATGAAATACGAAAAGTTTGAAAGCCTGTGTACAAAAACATAACACCATCAACAACAGCTGAGAGACTTTTTTTTATTTTATGTAAACAACGGTCCTTTGGAGTAAAAAGTTCTTGTTGCTAATAGACAAAAAGGCCCTAACTGAAATGGTCAAGGTGAACGTGGAATACTGGTAAGTTGGGATTTACAAGCCATTAAACATAAATAAATATCGTCACAACTCATAACTCAATTTTTCAGTCCAAAATGCAATTTTGAATGGCAATGTAAAATGTTACAAAACTTTCTTCTGCAACAACAACCAGAAACGGAAGTGGTTTGCTTAAAAGGCCGACAGGGATCCTTTGAAGTAAAAATTGATGACAATTTGGTGCACTCCAAATTACAGTCTTTCGCATTTCCCGATCACGAAAGCCTGCTTGAAAATGTGCGCAAAGCAGAAAAAGGACTACCGGTAGAAAAGGTTAAGGAGCAGCCAATTGATAATTGTATGCTGATGTGATCACAGGAAAATGTAAACACTTTTCTTTTTAAGAAAATTAAAACTTTATTTAGTTTGCATATAATTGTTATTTGTGCGGTGCACAAAATCAAGTACACAAAAAATAATAATAAAAGCTTGTCAAAGCAGGTATATATGAAACTTAAATCAAAATTAATAAGCTCAAAAATGTATATTTTTTTATTTTCGTGAATAGAAATCAATTGTATTGGATATCCTACGAAAATATAAATTCTTATGGGCAAACCAATACAAGTCGATGTGGAGCATTGGTAAGTACATATTGGTGGCCACTATAATGAAGTCACTACATACGTATGTATGTATATTTTTGTTTGAATATAGTGGATTATGTGCGGCACATGCCCGGCAGTGTAGGACACTGCAAAAATACATAATGAAAGAACAACCAGATACGGACCTAATTTGTCATGTTGGGCGTCGCGGTTCCTTTGAAGTTATCGTAAACGGTATGTTGGTACATTCGAAATTGAAAACCCAGGCTTTCCCATCACAGGAAGAAATATTGCAGAGCGTGATAAATGTCCGTGAAGGTTTGCCACCGAAATACGTGAGGTCAGAAAATTCTTGTTCATTGATGTAAAACTTCTATTGTATGTACGGATTTGTATAATTTAGTGTATATTTTTGTAAATATATTTTATTACTTTTATGTAAAACTTTGCTGTGACAATATCTGTGCCGTTCAGTTAAATTAGCCTTAAGTCGGGCTAGACCTTAATCCCTTTAAAGCAAAATGTCATTGGGTTCCTTAACATTCAACTATTCATAGGTGCAGCTCAAGATGCCCTTTTAATAGAAGCTGATTATTTTTTAATTCAAAGTCAAACATTCTAAAGTCACTTAGGCTACTTTAATTGAACGGCACAGATATGAAGGTACGTATGCATATGTATGTATTTACATAATTAAAGTTAAAGCGTGATTTTTTTTATTCTTTATTACAGATATGTATGCAATTGTTTTACATCTTTTAGCGATACTGAAAATAGCTTAATATTTTCATAAAGGTAATTTAATAATAGAGTAACTTAGATTTCATAAACTGGCAAGTTTTTGTGCGAAGCTTATAATTTAAGTACACTTTGATGCATACATATTTGTAAAATGTATTATCGTTATCAATTATATTTCCTATGCGCCAAGCCTTGGTCCCAATTATCTATATTTCATTGCTCTGCACCATGTTCTATCTTTCGTACTTTCACCTCTTCTTTGCAAGAGACAAAAGCATTTTCTTCTTCCAGTCCTTTGAGTGATAAATAAATTCCGAAGCGTATTTTTCCACCAAATTCTCGTGCAATAGTTCGCAATGGCTCGTTGGTTTTGCAACCACTATGTTGGTCAATGCAAATCATTTGACAACGCGTACAAAATCCATCTACTTTAAAATTTACATCACCTATACTAATTTCCTCAAAAGAATTTTCCTCAAACGGGCTTGCAGTCTCGAATATTAAGTTTCCTCTAAATCGGTCCACTGTCTGATCTATAGATTCCTTTTCCGATTCTACTTTATTGGCTAACCACCGAACCGATGCGCGATTGATGAGTAAGAATTGCGCCTGATTTGCAAAGCTGATTTCCTTGGCAGCACCATCTTGAGAGCGGCGCTCGGAATTTTGCCGCACTAAACGCAAACCTTCCGTTTCCAAGCAGTCTGATAACCACTGCCCTATTGCTTCCCCACAATCTAATCCCTCTACTAAATCATTGCAAACCTTGCTTTGACAGAAAGATGATTCAATACGTTTTGAAAAATTTGTTTCGTGCATTTCTAATGGCACCTGCACAGATTTCATGTTTGGAAACCGTAGCTCCAAAACTCCGTCCCTTAAATGCACAATTGGTCTTATCAAGCATAATCTTGTAAAATGTTTTTGTGTAATAGCCATTCCATTGACATCGACAATCATCCAAGTGCGATCATATTTAAAACCATTTCGGGTGAGCTGCCATGCGCTGCTCACTTCAAAAGCGCCACAAGATTTGATCGGATAGATGCATATGCGTTTCAACTGCGGCCTTAAGCGCTGTGATACTTTACGTAGCGCTTCCGGTAGTTCTCTTCTTTCTATGACACGTAAACGTTCAGAAGCTGTAGTTAGATAGCAATCACGTATCATTGCCACTGCTTTGTCCACATCCTTCGGGCGAGTCATGTATCCAAAAGACATACGCACCGCACCCGTTGGCATACCATCTACCAGATCTGTATAATCACTGCAAACATGGCCCGCTTCGAACTGTTTTCGTATGTCTGAATTCGACAAACGTAAGAACCATTGGCACGCACCGGGATTACAGAAGCAACCGGTACGTATTTGTACATTATGCACTGCAGCAATGCAAGCAACTTCGGCAAAACCAACATAAGTACCATCGTCGTGCAGCACATTGAAGGTAACCACGCCGCCTTGAAGCGCTATATCATCATAGCCGACATGATTGTAAAACTTTATAAGAGACGCACCATTCGCATGATGTAATACGGCGAGTGAGTCGTGGCAATATTTAGCCAAACGGTAAACATGCATGCTAATACGTTCCATTGTCAGGCGTTTCGGCGTGGCAGGCACTATACGTTCCAATGTTCGAAAGCCTTCCAGCACCGAAGAAATTGTGAGGAAAGGCAAGGTGCCATCTTCAAAGCGTGTAGAAAAATTAGATCGTTTTTGGTGAAAATCCTGGCGTGTCATCGCAATATCTATGGTCCCGCCGCCATAGTAACGCTTTTGCAACACTGATTGACCACGTTTGCTCACCAGTAGTGCACCAACTCCCGTGGGAAAGCTGTCGAGGCATAATCATATCCTTATTATATACTAACGATTTCTATCTGTTTTACTTACCCAAACATTTTGTAAAATGAAATACAACAAAAATCGGGTTTGTATCTTCGCAAATCTAGGAAATTGGTTGCTACAAAAGAAGCTGTATCCAGGCAAATGTAATAATTACTTTCATTAGCTTCGTTTCCTTTTTCCAGTCCTCTAACCGGTGTGCCATGAAGAGACAAACCCTGTGTTTGAATTGCTTCAATGATATCAAGTGGTATCTTGTAGCCGCTGAAGTTGCATTGCGCCGAAAAAGCAACAAGTGAATTATGCTTGAGTTTATTACTTCCATTTGTCTTATTGTCGAAATTAGAACCATTTCCGTTAACGGCAGTTAGACTCTTCAAAATCTCGTGTTTGGTTAAAACATTATGGCGATTTGTGCCCACTATTTCCCGCAATCCTAACACGGATGTGTGATTTTCTTGACAGTAGTAAAAAGCACCAACGTTATTTGCATCTTCCCCGAACTGAAAACATTCACCAACTATTCGCAGAGCAGCGGTAGCATTGGCTGTGAAGACCACAGCATATTCGGATGCGTCTGTATTAAAATGCTGCAGGATCCTGAAATTAATTTTTTATCCTAATTTTGTACATATGTATGTATATACGTAATTTAGAAAGTTGTATTTACCTGTAACGAGCCTGATCTATGAGATCACCGGTTACTTTGCAAGTGTGTGGGTTACAGAATAAATTATCTTTGAGCACCTTGCTCGAGGCATCTATTAAGCTTGCAGGATAAAGCGTAGTTCCAGCGTGATCAAGGTAGACATTTTCTGAAAAAAAGTTTTATATTTTTATTTCATAGAAGACTTGGGCACTTATTAGAAAATTAATAACAGAGATAAATAATTTCAAGGGGCAGTATTAAATTATCAACAAAAGTTCAAAAACACTTCGTTGAAATTATGATAACGTTTGTAAAAAACGACCAATAAGAAATAAGCACGCATTTATTAATTTGCCATTAAAGGCAAGTTTATGCATTTAATTTCTCAGGACTAACATGGTAGTATCACAAGAACAATAGCTTAATACAATAATATTGTTGTGTTAATTTCCTGAATCGGTATAAGTTGTAGACAAGTTATTACTCGTGGCTGCATGTATATGTATTTATATATATATGTACATATATATACAGATGCGTGCAACTAATTAGCAACGAAATTCAAAACGATATTGCTTGCAAATTATGTTTATTTATTTATTTTTAATAATTTTCATTTAAAATATAATTCAATCTATATCAGAAACCACAATAACAAAAGTTGCAAAGCTTGCAAATTGCAAAAAAATTAATCAAACTTCAAAAAATTGTCATCAAAATTTCAAAATTTTTAATTAACTATTTAGATAATAAAATAATTTTAGTATAATAAAGTGCAAGTTTGAAGTCGCTAAAAATTACCGTTGATTTTTTAGATTTTTTTTTGTGGAGGGTGTTGCGCATTTTCTTCCATATAACACATGATCAAAATT